CAATATGTTTGGGCTAAAGCAGTATCCGCAACGTGTTATACTCATAATCGTTCTTTTAATCTTCGAAGTTTCAATATCACTCCTTATGAAGTAATCAGTAATTGAAAACCAAATGTTAAATTTTTCAATGTGTTTGGTTGTAGGTGCTTTATTACGAATCTCAGGGATAATCTTTCGAAGTTTCAAGCTAAGGTTGATGAAGGGGTATTTTTGGGATATTCGCACAATTCGGTTGAATATAGATAAACGAACATAAAAAGTCGAAGAAACATTCAATCTTACTTTTGGATGACTATTATGTTAAACAAGTTGACAAACTCTTTGAACAAAAGACAATTATTAAATAATCAAATGATGAAACTAAAATTATAACTTCATTTGATTTTTATTATGATTTAATTTTTGGTCTTCCTGATAGGGCTGTAGATGTTGAAGTTCATGCGAATGATAATAATCAATCAGGATCTTCGAAGCACAATGAGGGATTGGATCTTACCCAAATTCTTGATGATAGTATTTCAACATCGAATTATCCAAGAATTTGCGAAAGTATGCTAAATAATCCAGTGGAAGGGGAGCACTTGGATACAAATACTCAAATTGAGGGGGAGAAATCTTTCGAGGGGGAGAATGGGAGAATGAATGAAGATGTTGAGGGGCAGAATCTAGTTGAAGGGGAGCAATAGAATCAAAATAACAGTGATACGATAAGTCTTGATCTAAATGATGAATTTCACGAAATTAATGATAATCTTTCTGTTGCAGGATCATAAAATGAAGATTTACACGAAGATGCACATTTAGATTTTGATCCAGCATATCACCACTCGAAAAATAGACAAATGATCATCCGAAAGAACAAGTAATTAGGAATCCACAAGATGGATTTTTAACAAGAGCTCAACTTCGTACAAAGAATGAGGTATTAAATACACATTAAGAATTTTTCATGTTCAATGTTTTCATTTCGAAAATCGAAACAAAGACAATTAAGGATGCAATGGAACACTCTAATTGGGTTGTTGCAATGCAATCTGAATTGGCTGAGTTTGAACAAAATAACATTTAAAGATTAATTCCAAAACCTGAAAATATTTCGATTGTCGAGTTAAAATGGATTTTCAGAAATAAAACCGGCAAAGATGGAAACATTATTCGAAACAAAGCTAGACTTGTTGTAAAAGGTTACTCACAACAAGAGGGAATAGACAATGAAGAAATTTTCGCCCCTGTCGCCAAACTCGAGGTTGTTCGTATATTTTTGGCTTATGCAACTCACAAAGATTTTGATGTATATCAAATGAATGTGAATTGTGCATTTTTTATTGGAGAGCTCGAAGAAACAATCTATGTGGAACAACCCCCAGGTATTGTCACTAAAGATGATCCTGATTATTCTTATATTTTAGATAAGGCAATTTATGGGTTAAAACAAGCACCAAGAGCCTGGTATGTAACTCTTACCTCTTTCTTAAAACAATCGAAATTTAAACAAGGATCATTTCACCCCATATTATTTCGAAAGAAAGTTTGGAATCATCTTATGCTTGTTCAAATTTATGTCAATGATATTATTTTTAGCTCTACTGACCCTGTTTTATCTAATGAATTTGAAAATCTGATGAAAAGAAAATTTGAAACGAGCATGATGGGAAAAATTAATAATTTTCTTGGTCAAAATATTCGTCAAAGTAGAGAAGGAATTTTTATCAACCAAGAAAAGTATACGAAGAATTTGCTTGAAAAGTTTTGATTGACGAATAGCACAAAATTACGAGTACCGATGGCTACAGGAACAAGGCTGACACCTTCGTTAGATAAACCAGCAGTTGACTTAACTCTTTATCGAAGCATGATAGGTTCATTACTTTATCTCACAACAAGTAGACCTAATATCATGTTTTCTATGTGCAATTGTGCTAGGTACCAGTCAAATCCACAAGAACCACATCCTATTTCAGTCAAGAATATTTTTCGTTATCTCAAATGTTCAATTTCGTTAGGATTGTGGTGTCCTTCGAAAACTGGTTTCTCTATTCAAGCTTTCTTAGATGCTGACTTGGGAGGTTGCAATCTTCATCGCAAAAGCACGAGTAGAGGATGTCAATTACTTGATGGAAAATTGCTGAGCTAGCAATTGGTTAAGCAAACATGTGTTTCAATTTTGACTGCTGAAGCAAAATGTGTTAGTGTTGCTGCCTGCACATCATAAATAATTTGGATTCAAAGTCAATTGTGTGATTATGCAATAAACATGAAGATACTTCCTTTATATTGTGATTCTCAAAGTGCAATTCGTATTTGTCAAAATCATGTGCAGCATGCGAAGACTAAGCATATTGCTCTTTGTTACCATTTCATAAAAGATCATGTAGAGGATGGTAATATTGAAGTGCATTTCGTGAAAACCACTGATCAATTGGCTGATATTTTCACAAAACCGTTAGATGAAAAATCATTTGTGAGAATTTTAGGTGGACTTGGAATGGTTGAAGGGGGTTCTATTTCAAAATAATAGCAATAACTGGACAGCTGTCAGATTCAAAGGTTATTGTTCATAGTCAACGCTTCATTACCCTTCTTATTCGTAAATTGGGACTGAAAAAATCGTGTGTCTGGTACATTTCAAATATTTTTGTTAAGTAGTTATTTATTTTCGAAAAATTCAAAAACAACAAAAAGATTTTTTGTTTGTTTTGTCATTTCTTTTCGAAAGACACAAAAACAACAAAAATATTTTTTTTTGTTTTGTCAATTCTTTTTGAAAAACACAAAAACAACAAAAAGATTTTTATTTGTTTTCTCTTTTATTTTCGAAAAAACAAAAATCACAAAAATATTTGGTTTTGTATTGTTTTGTCTTCATGTTTTGTTTCAGGTAACAAAGATGAATCTCAATGGTTAATGCTTGCAGTTCTAGGGTTGGGTAAATCTTTCAAAACTTTTGTACTATTTAAGGTGTCCTTAGAAGCATGTTGCAGCATGTTGACCAGAGCCTCAAATGAGAGAGGTACAAAATGATTTCTTAAACCAATCTTTTTCATCTAAATATTCTTACACGATCACACACAAAGACATGTGTCGAAGAGGTCTTTGATCAAACCGATCGAGACTTAGACATATCAAAAATCTATGTTTATGACTGACATTATGAGACCGTGATGAAAGTGAAACCCAATTCTCAAGACTTTAAGGAATTGACGGGGAACTTTGTTCCAATTTTGAACGAAAATTTTGTTTCTGTACCTAGATTCGAAACTCCAAATCATATTCATTTCGTATGAGTGATATTGATCAAATTATCAAAACCCATAATGTTTTTTACCCAACAAGATGGAGCACAAATTTTTTCATGAATATGATTTCCATGTGAGTTTCATTTGCTTTCTAAGTCACTTTCAAATCTAATTCAAAACATACTTGTCACTGACTACACTGGTCAAACAAGTGATTTATGTTACAATTTCTCACCTTATGTTTTGGATGATATGTAACGAAATCGTGTACCCACCCATGAAGCCTTGAAAAAGAAGCCCTTCGAAACTTCTCAATAAGTTTTCAATTGTAATTCACGGGGAAACACACAAGCAGTTGATTATCTCTGTTGATAATTAACGAAGAAACCTTTTCCTGGAGTTTAACTGTTTTCATGTCAAAATACTTTTGACATCACAAATCCAAAGTTTATTTTTATTTGATTCTTTTCTTTTTCTTTGGCACACTACACTCATGAAATCCTTGAGGTTCTGAGTAATACCAACTCAGGCTGATGATTTCGAAAGTCTGGCACATGACTTCACTTTAAATCCCAAAAGTGAAAGAGCCTAACCTCCATCTGAAGGTTGCTGGCGGTTCATATTACATTGGGGGAAATAAACAGGCCGTGAGAAGTGACATCTTGTATTCTATCTAGTTTTCAAGGAGAAGTGATAGTTGCTTTTTCAGGCATGGCTACTTTATCGGCATAGTGGTGCGAGTTTCAAGGTGCCACGTTGGATTTCATTAAATGAGCATACCACTTCAAATTCAAATATGAGGGTTACATATAAAAATGAATTCAAGGGTTTGTTATCAGTTTACGCTTTCAGAAGAAAATTTTCCAAATTCTCTCTGAAAAACCTAATTGTTCTTCATACAATTTTACAACTCTAGTCATGGCTTATCAAACTAATGTTGATACACCATCCCAAACCACAGAAGATGTTACATCTCTACCAATCATGAAGATTCAAGGAACAAACTATCAAGTAAAAGCAGATAAATCTCTTTACCCTGAAGGATTGAAGATGTTGGTGGTTGCCTTGAAGAGCTATGTTCTTTTGACAACTATGTTTAATTCTTTTGCATTACCTTTATCATGGCTTTCAAAAGCAGGTTCTACTGGAACATACTCTAAAGCCCTAGATGTCATCACATTCAACTTTTTGAATGATAAGAAGGGACGATTAACAAAGAAGCTATTTTGTCAAATTTTGGATATTCCAAACTCTCAACAATTCACTTCTCCTTCGACTGTTCAAGTGAATCATATGTTTAATGAGATGGGTCATCAACCCATACTCACTAAGATAAGTAATTTTAAGAAATTTGGTCTTCCGGCAGTCTGGAACTTTCTTTTTGGAATCTTTTTATGTTGCTTGACTGGTCGCAGTGTGGGTCTTGACAAAGGAAGAATGGAGGTTTATGCCATGGTTGTAGGGGTGTATTATGATATTCCACTCAACTATTCAACTCAATTATGGAAGGTATTTCACAAGAGTGTCGAAAACACAAATCTTATGCAAGGTATTTCATGTGCACCATATTCGAGTCTTATCCTCAGATATTTTTAGGATAAACAAAGAATTTAGGTGATTGTTGAGGAGGAAACTACAGATTTATTGAAGTATAATTTTCCTAAAGATGTGTCTAATGATGAAGCCATATTTTCACATGTTGCACGCATTCCTGATCCACTGTTGAAAAGAGTTGAACCGTCGAATGTTATGCTTATCAAATATATGACCACAATTGATCCCAAAGTTGAAACTGGGAAGTTGTTAACAAAAGATGATGTAGGTCCTTTGAAGAAATCTAAAATAACAAAGAAAGTTGTGATTGTCAATCCTGAGCCAAATGTTCAAGAAACGAAGCAATCGAAGTCTCCCAAGAAAACAACGAAGCTAGATGAGTTAGTTTCGAAAGCTGTGATAAATCCTATTGAACTTGTTGTTACAGAACCAACGTCAGTTACAATTCCTTTAAAGACTGGAGTTTTTCGAAGATTAAAGCTGAAGTATGTTGGTTCACCCACTTTGAGTCTAGTTTGCAAACCTCATGTTACTCATCAAGGGGTATTTATGCGCAAATTCCCAACTTCAGTTTCTCCTCATTCAAAGAAACGAAGGGCTGAGGATATAGCCAAGAAAATTTCGAAGAAAAAGAAGAAGACAAAGAAAAAGCAGTTAGTAATTCCAACACAATCATCTAAAGAAGAAGAAGAGGTTCCTGAAACTCCCGAACCTATTAATGAGCCTACATCTCCTGAGAAAACTGTTATCATAACACCCGAAGTTTCGTATGCCAAATCATCTCATGAGGAGGTACGAACTTCATATGTCACTACAAACGTCTATGATACGGGTGTAAATGTCATCATGGGTGAAGGAGATCTATCAAAGGAAACCACTCAACCTCAACAAGGTACTTGAATTGCTATTTCTATTGAACCCATTACTAGTAACTTTTTTTCTTTACCTCAATTTATCATTCCTACTACTTCCACCACTTAATCACCAACCTTTCAAAACATCATCAACCAACCCTTTACATCCATTTTTTCATCTCAATCCACTGATCCACCGAAAACGAATGATGAATCTTATAAAGAAAAAGGTGTCTATGGAGGTACTTTTGATGATATGGCTTTTGATGAAGAAGAAGAGGATTTCCATGACCACATACTGATCTCCGAGAAACAATTCAAAATTCTAAATAAAAAGTTGATATCTATTATTTAGTCTCAAGCAGACTTGGGGGTAGGAATTTCAGTGTCCAGTTTTGAAGTTGATGGATTGATGAAGGATTTTGAGGCACGAATAGTCAGCCGAGTGTCTGGTATGATCAAAGACTCAGAATCAAGAATCCTAGAGAAGGTAGATCATGTTGATCAGACAATAGAGTTGAGGATAAATTCTTTCAATACAAAGTATGTGGGAGCGGTGAAAGAATTAACCAATGTTCAAAAGGAACGACACACATTGTTCGTTATGGATGTGAAGAAGGTGAGAGAAGATGTTAATTTGAAGCTTCAAGAGCGTCATGATGACATGGTTCGTGAAGTTGCCATTTTTCAGAATGATTATGCCACTCTGCATAAGAAAGTTGATATTATTTGTGATGCTATCACGAAATTTGTTACGTTGTACGAAATCTTGAGTCCTCAAATTACTCAACTATCTACAACTGACAATCAATAGTTTGGGGAGGTTATTTCGATGCTAAAAGATTTAAAGGATTTAGTGCTCAAGCCTACTACATCTTCGATAATTACTCCATAATTCCTTTCTCAAAAATTCTCACAGTTCGAAGACATACTCCACAAGCAATTGGCTCTATTGTCTACTATTTCAAATCTTCTGCCAACTGGTGCGCCACCTGTTCGAACAGGGGTGCAAGGGGGGGGGGGAGAAAAGAGAGTTGGAAAAGCTTCTCATGCGACGGCTGGAGGTGATGCTTCGCATGGAGAGGTGAAAGTTGTGGGCAAAGTCTATCCTTCGAAAGTTCTATTGACCAAGCCAATAATTTCAATTGATGGACCAGTTAATTCAACTGTTGTAACATCTATGCCAATCTCAAACTCGATCGCAAAGGGAATTGTAATTGGATCATCTAATGGCCAAGGTGAGGCTTTGAAAGAAAAACATGATACAAAAAAATCAACAGACAAAGGCAAGCAAATTTGAAACATCCCAGAAATACGACCCAAAAATTTTGTTTTTAAATAATAATAAAAGTCATAACACTGAATGTCATATAATAAAACCATACGTCGGTTATCTCAAAGCCATAACAAAAATGTCATATCAAGAACTGTATCAAATCATATCTAAGTATTTGAACACAACTCCCATGAATAAAGTTGAAGCTGTGTTGTGTGCGATGCCATCAACCCGAGCCCTTCCCTTTACTTGCGGAAGTACCTGAAACCAAAACTAAAACTATAAGCACAAAGCTTATTCAACTCCCCCAAACTACCACATACCATAAACCAACATATAAACACATAGTTGGCCTTGCCTACTACATCGGACCGAAGTCCGAAAGTAAGCAGGGCCTTGCCCTCTGCATCAGACAGAATTCCGTAAACTGCATCAGACCGAAGTCCGGAACTGACTGGAACCTTGTCCCCTGCATCGGACCGAAGTCCGAAACTAACTGAGTATAACATAACATGGCATAAACATATCAAATAGCATGAACACATAAACTGAACACTGTCTGAGCCACGAAGGCATCAACATACTATAACTGCATCGGACCGAAGTCCTGAAACTAATACTAGATAAACGGGCCGGCATTGGGGCCTTAGACCCATTACTACTGGAAGAAAACTCACCTCGTAAACTGGCTGGTAAATGAACGGCTCTGGAAACTATCTGGTGCTGCTCCGATATCTCCGCGGCTACATTTTCCATAACACACTGAATCAAATACTGATAACTATAGTGAGGATAAAATGACTCTTTTACCCCTGGTCAAAGTAAACCCTATTGGTTAAAGTCAACATACAGTTGACTTGACTCATCGAGTTGGGTCACCAACTCGCCGAGTCCTCACCCTCATTTCTTTGCTTCTGATCGCTACTACTCGTCGAGTTTGGCATAGACTCGACGAGTTCCCCTTCTATGCTATCACCCACTCGATCTGCATCCGACTCAGTGAGTTGTATGAACAAATCGTCGAGTCCTCCTTCAATGTATGAACACTCTGGCTGTGACTCACCGAGTTGTATGAAGAACTCGTCGAGTCTGAACTAGAGGTATGAAGACTGTCTTGGACTCGCGACTCGACTCGCCAAGTCCAAAGAATGACTCATCGAGTCGCATGCATGCAATTACTATTCAGATGATTCTGCTCAAAACCAATGCATCCAACTGATAGATATGGGCTCCTAAGGCCTGGTTTGCACGTAAAGGTTCCTTTTTTATGTGCACATACACTCCTAAAGAGGTTTATAGGCTTAAAATGCTTGAATAAGGCTAGATCTAGGGTTTATATGCAACAAGGTTCAATAGAGGTATTAGATCTATGTTTGGGACAACAATATGATTAGATCTGAAAGCTATAACACTTACACAAGCTCCCATTCTATATTAAGCTCACAAATGGGCAAAAAGGTAACCTAAATGAGATTCTTGAAGAAAAACAACCAAAGAATAGAAAGAGTCCGATTAATACCTCAAATGACTCTGAAATGGATGCAAGATCTTGTTCCCCTTCTTCTCCTTTGGATCTAGCCTTCCTCCTTTCATGCAATCTTCACTTGTTACACAAAAATACCCAAAAATACTCAAGATAGGTTAGGGTATGGCTATGAAACGTTCTGAGGGTGAGGGAGGCCAGATTGGGTGCATAAGGGGGATTATATAGGGTGCCAAACCAGTGGATCTAGGGTTTCTTCCAGGCTGGCGGACTCGCCGAGTCCAGGATATGGTCTCGTCGAGTCGCCCACTTACATGTGCTGGAAATCCCGTCTTTACTCGACGAGTCGGGAAACAGACTCATTGATTCCCTCTTGAGTACTTAGAAAAATAACCATTAAATAACATTCTGGAACCAGGGTCGTTACAACTCTCCCCCACTTGTCTCAGACTTCGTCCTCAAAGTCTGCTGCTGCGGCATCTGCGAACAACTCTGGATAGTGCTCCCTTATTTCCTCCTCTATCTCCCATGTCCACTCAGATCCCTTCCGGTGCTACCAATGCACCTTTACTAACCGAACCACCTTGTTCCTCAAGGCTTTCACCTTCTGATCCATGATCGCTATGGGTTTCTAAATATAATTCAGGCTGTTATCAACCTGAAAGTCCTCCAACAATACTACTGCTATCTCATCCACCAAGAACTTCCTCAACTGAGAAACATGGAAAGTGTTGTGGATCTGACTGAGCTCTGCTGGAAGATCCAACCGAGAAGCAACCCGTCCCACCCAGGCCAAAACCCTAAAAGGACCGATGAACCTGGGGCCCAACTTGCCACTTTTCCGAAACCTGATTACACCCTTCCAGGGTGATACCTTCAGGAGGACCATATCGCCCACTTGGAACTCCAAGTCTGAACACCTCCTGTCGGCGTAACTCTTCTACCGACTCTGCGCATTCTGCAGTCTGCTACGAACCTGCTGGATCAACTCTGTCGTCTTGAGCACCACTTCGGTGCTCCCAATGACCCGCTGACCGGCCTCTCCCCAACAAATCTGGGTCCTACACTTCCTCCCATAGAGCGTCTCGAAAGGAGGTCGATCAATACTCGCATGGTAAATGTTGTTATACGAAAATTCCGCCAACGGAAGATACGTATCCCAATTGCCACCAAAGTCTAGAACATATGCCCGCAGCATGTCCTCGAGAGTCTGAATCGTTCTCTCGCTGTGTCCGTCCGTCTGAGGATCGAAAGCGGTGCTAAAATGGAGACGAGTACCCATCTCGTCATGAAACCGCTTCTAGAATCTGGAAGTAAAACGGACATCTCGTTCTGACACCACTGAAACAGGCACTCTATATCATGCCACCACCTCTCGCACATATATATATATATATATATATATATATATATATCGGGTATCTTTTCAGCCGATATGCTCTCCTGGATCAGTATAAAATGGGCACTCTTCGTCAATCGATCCACTATAACCCAAATCAAATCCACTCCACGTGTGGTCCTGGGAAGCTTAGTGATGAAATCCATAGTGATATCCTCCCATTTCCACACTGGTATATCCAACGGTTGCACCTTGTTATGGGGCCTTTGGTGCTCCACCTTAACCTTCCTGTAGGTTAGGTATCTTTCCACATACCAGGCGACATCCCTCTTCATGTAGGGCCACCAATAGTCGGGTCAAAGATCCCTATACATCTTCGTTGCCCCTGGATGGATGGAAAATCGAGACATATGGGCCACGTCCATCAACACCTGCCGCATTCCGCCCCACTACGGTACCTATACCCTCCCATGAAGAGTCAACTATCCTCGGCTATCGTAGTCAAAAGAAGCTACTCGGCCCACAATCCTCTCATACTTCTGCCTCTCCTCCTTAAGGCCCTCGGCCTGCGCCTCTTTGATTTGCTCCAATAATGGAGTAATCACCGTCATCCTCAAACAAATGTCTCTGATCGGGGCGCTACTGCCTTGTGGCCCAGAGCGTCGGCCACTTGAAACATCCCAAAATACGACCCTAAAATTTTTGTTTAATAATTACTAAAAACACCATGATAAAATCATAAGGTAAAACTCGTACGTCAATATCTCACAAACAAAAGTAAAGTGTTATGAGTAAATTGTATCAAGACTGTATCTATCATATCTATGGAAAACCAAAACAACTCCCAGGACAGCTGAAGCTGTGGTGTGTGCGATGTCATCAACCCGAACTCTTCCCTTTGCTTGCGGAAGTACCTGAAACCAAAAATGAAACTGTAAGCACGAAGCT